TAGCACAATAATAGTAACACATCAAACCTCATAATTATTGTGTAATAGAGTAATAGTAAAATGTTGACCGTTCAACAAAGGTAAACATAATAAAAAGTCAAAAAGAATTAATATTAATGTGAGTGACAGTAATATTACTATAACAACAGTAATATTACCGTCAACCACAATAATGTTATTGTGTGAACAATAATATTACAATAATAGAAAGTGATATTATTACTTTACTTCGTGAATAACTCAAACCAAACAAAAAAACCCTAAAAAATAATAACATTGATGTGGTTGACAGTAATATTACTATAACAATAGTAATATTACCGTCAACCACAGTAATATTATTGTGTTTACACTAATATTACAATAATAGACAGTAATATTATTACGTTACTCCGTGAATAACTCAAACAAAACAAAAAAAAAATCCAAAAAACTAATAATATTGATGTGGTTGACAGTAATATTATTGTGTTTACGGTTATTTTACTGTCAACACAGTAATATAATTACGTTGACTTGTCAACAAATCAAAAAAAATTAACAAAAAAATAATAATAATATTGTCATTGACTATAATTGTACTGTCAACGGCAGTACAATTACATAAATGTATTGTCAACGACAGTACAATTACGTTAATGTACTGTCAGTGACAGTATAATTACGGTAATTTACTGTCAGTGACAGTATAATTACCGTTAATGACAGCACAATTACGGTCAACGTTTAGCGGCAGGCGTAAAAAAAAACACTAAAAAAATGTCAACGCCGGAATCCGCAGCGGCAAAAAATAGACCATAAAAGAAAAGAAAAAAAGTCATGCCGGAGGCGGCGTAAAAAACAGACCAGAAAAATAAAAGAAAATCGAAAAGTCAACGCTGGAGGCCGGCGGCAAAAAAATATTTTTTGATTTTTGAAAAAAAAAGTCAAAATTGGATTTTTGTGATCAAAATTGATTAAATTGGGGTTACAATTTAGAATTGAGTGTAAATTATTGGGGGTAATTTTGTCATATACATGAATTTTTCCTTTATCTTTGTATCTTAAAGAAAGGTTTTTCCCCGAAACCCTAATCAAAGAGAGCATCGGGCGTGCACAGACAATACCTCCGCATTGAACTGTCGTCTGGGAAAGTATTTTTGGGGGCCTTTTTTT